AGAGCAGTTGTATTTATTTTTAAAGACCGAGACCGGTTTATACTCAAGCACTTACATTCAGTAAAAACGTGTGTAGTTATGCCCACGAGATGTTATTGGTGGGAAGCACCACTATTAAGTTACTGTAGTCTCACTATCTCACCAATGCTCATATATCCACGAAAGGTGTGTATCAAGGCATATGCACATATATACGTGAATGCGCATCAACGATTGCCTCACATGTGATGGATATGTTACATACAGCCGAGGGATTGATGAATAGACAGTCAATTAGCCAAACTCTTCCCACAACTTTGGCGGCATCAATGTTCCCATACATAGGTATACATAATAGCGTATGTGAACATTGACGTACACTTGGATTAAAGAATAGACAAATCGTATACCCATATTGCATGGTCACGGTCGAACTATAAAACAGTTCTAAGACGCCAGTTAACTATTCATAACTTTTGGACCAAAGACAGAACGTATGCTATGGTATAATCATACATGTATGATTGCAAAGGTTAAGAACTCGATTTAACTCCACTATCCGTGTACCAAAAACAAAATATGTGATACAAGTGTTCAGTATATATATATATATGTATATTCGCAACGGATATTTAAGCAGGAGTTAAAGAACTAGACTTAACACTTCATAACTATCAGGTCAAAAACTAAACATATAATATAACCATATTTATGTGATTAAGGTCGCTCAAAAGAAACAGATAAATCAAAACCTTGAGTAACATTTCATACCTTTCCCACCGCCTTTCCGCTGGCTTTGATAACGTCTTTGTTATCGGAAAGCATTTTACCCCATGACGACATGACTGCAGGTCAGCTTGTTCCCTGATCAATTGTGCATGCAAAATGCTTCCCAGTAATTATGCCTATGTGTTTGTATGTTAATTAAGCTTCTATTTATGTGCATAGAGTATCTATTTGCTATGACTTCTGTATTTTACCAAACCAGCCGACCTGTCACTGACGCTTCGGTTTAATCGAGCTCACAGTCCAATAACAATAAGTACGAACTTGCACCTTGATTCTAGTATGAACAACACGATGTAGTCAAGTTGGGTTTATTGCACATACACCTGTTATAGCATTTACCTTCCATAGAATAGCGATATATTGATCAGGTGAACACCATTATTTCGAAGATGCAATGTTTTAGCGAGCTTTTATCATATTTTTACTCTCTCTATATTGATTTATTTTTTAGAACAGAACGTCTATTTTGAAGGCTATGAACAGAAATAAATTTAGCCCTGTAAATATATTTTTCTTTTTTTCAAAATATTACATTTTGTTTTTTGTTTGTTATAAAAAATATACAAAAACCGGATAAAAACAATAATTTGGCTTTTTGGCTTTTTTTCAAAACAAAAAAGCAAATAGGACAAACAAAACAAAAACTGTCCATTTTGCAAGCAAGTCCTAATATTTAATTATGAATATGTATCAGATCGTTGAAATTTTAGAAGTATGCTATGGAACGGAAATAATTTTTTTGATATTTATTTTGGCTTTTATTTTCGGTGTAAAATATGTGCGACAAATCGAAAAATAAACCACCCCCGTAAAAACTAAAATTCTCTCAGTCTCTCTCTCACGACTCCAGTCACAGTCCATAGTGGCCCAGTCACAACTCTCAAGTCTCTCTGTCCATCACATTCCAGTCATCGAAAAAAAGTGCGGGGTCACGGCGTCATGCTGTAGCCTGTATTGCTGAATGCTGTGCCTGTCTCAATATTTATGTAAATAAATATGACATTGGCCAGAATGCAAGTAAATACCAATAACCGACCTTATAAGCATAGTATAGTCTCCTCTGTAGTACATGCCAACTTGTCAAGGTTACAGGCGTAGAGTTCTATCAAAGCTTCTCGTGAAGGAATAAGAGAGAAGTCACACACGCGTGTATTATGGTGTATATTGACGACTGGAAGGCGTTCTTCTCAGCTGCAGAAGAGCTCTTTAAAGAAAGGCCCGAACAGGTAAGTTGCGTTGACAAATCGCACTCCTTTTATAATTTTTTATGTCCCTACATCATATCTGTGAAAAATCACCGTGATGGAAGAATCCAGGAAATTTATATAAAATTGAATATCT